CCTGCAAATAATTCTGCATTCAGCATATATATTCTTAACAGTTGTTAGCTATAATGAATTATAAATTTTGAGAATTATAGCAGAGGCTTTAGGTAGATACTATCTTAGAAATGCCTCCGTTTAGGGTGATGAATGTTTTAAACATGAGCGATTTGCTAGTCCTCAGGAAGTAAATGTTCTCTGTAGCATAGGACTCTAGTTAAGATGAGTAAAAAAGCTGATTGTAGAGCTGTGAGTTCATTTAGGAACCTCTTTTCTTTTTCATTTTGATGAGTAGGTTATTAATTGCAGCAGTTTCCTCATTTTATTTCATGATACTTTATCACACATCAAAATTTTAAAAAACCTTTCCCCAATTGACCAGTATTCTTATCTTTTTCTTTCTTCTTTATCTTCTTAACTTTTAAAGCATCTCGTTTTTTTCTGACTGAAAGGTTTCTGCCGCCGATTATTTTAGTCGCTCCGATCATAAGGGAAGTGTTGTCTCCGAGATGGATGACATCAGTATCCCAGATTTGTCCAGTGTGAGTGTATTGCATGGGGTGTTTGGTTATATAGTCCTAGGCTTGTGACTAACAGCTAATATGTTAGCTAGTTTATAATAAAAGTGGGAACTTGATTTATTGTATCAAGAAATATTTGTTTGGGCCAGGCACGGTGGTTCCTGCTTGTAATCCCAGCACTTTGGGAGGCTGAAGCAGATAGATCACCTGAGGTCAGGAGTTCAAGACCAGCCTGGCCAACATGGTAAAACCCTGTGTCTACTAAAAATACAAAAAAATTAGCTGGGTGTGGGGGCACACACCTGTAATCCCAGCTACTCTGGAGGATGAGGCAGGAGAATCGCCTGAACTCAGGAGGTGGAGGTTGCAGTGAGCTGATATCATGCCACTGCACTTCATCCTGGCCAGCAGAGTGAGACTCCATCTCAAAAAAAAAAAGCAAAGAAATAATTGTTTGAACATGTTAACATCAAATACATGTGCTCTGTTTTGGAATGTATTCATTAATATGTCCTTTTTATAAAAAACCTTTTCTCCCTCTGTGAAAATATCTCCACATAGAACCCATCAGCATCTGCAACAATTATCAATATTTTGCCAGTGTTGTTTCATGGATTTCTTTTCCCTTCCCTCTTTTCCCTGAATTATTCTAAAGCAAATCTCACATCCTGTCATTTCCCAATAAATAGTTCAATATGTATCTCTAACTGAACATTTTTCCAGATCTTTTATATCATTATCATAACTAATGAAATAAGTAATTTTTTTAATCTTTTTAAAAATTTTTTCATTATTCTTTTCTTAGTAGTGTGAAAACGGAATAAGTAAATCTTTAGTATCATCTAATACCTAGCCCTTATTCAGACATTCGTTATTGGTTTAAAAAATTATTTTTCCTCTTTGGTTTTAGTGAATCTATAAAGTGATAGGTAGACTTTGAAAGTTGAATAATGAAATATACTACTTAGTAAAGTGTCACTAATTTGTACTAACTTGTAAGAATCTGAATTGATTTTAAACATTTGGATTATGGCATTGTTCTGAAGAAGTGTGCCTATCCATTGCTTCCATATTCATCAGGAACCAAATTTAGGAAAGGTTGTCCTTGGGGCATTTGTCTTAATGAGTGAATTCCAGCCAGCAACTTAGGATCTACCTGCTCATCTCAAAATAACGGCCTGATTTCTCTGTGGCACATCTCCTCTCTTGATGACATTAGTGATGTTTTGTTCATAGACCAAGACTATACCATTTGGAGGGGGTGAGAAGCAGCATCTTCCCTCCTTCCTTCCTTCCTTCCTTCCTTCCTTCCTTCCTTCCTTCCTTCCTTCCTTCCTCCTCCCTCCCTCCCTCCTTCCCCTCCCTTCCCTTCCTTCCTTTCCTTCCTTCGTTTCCTTCGTTCCCTTCATTTCCTTTCTTTTCTTTTTCTTCTTACTTCAGCCTTCCCAGTAGCTGAGATTACAGGTGTGCGTCATCAGGCCCAGCTAATTTTAATATTTTTTGTAGAGCTGGAGTTTTGCTGTGTTGCCCAGGCTGGTCTCAAGCTCCTGACCTCAAGCAGTCCACCTGTCTCAGCCTCCCAAAGTGTTGGGATTACAGGCATGGGCCACCACTCCTGGCCAACATTTCTTAATAGAACAGTTAGACATTCATTTTTAAATGAATAAATAAATATTTATAATTAGCATTTCACTGATCATATTTAAATAACTATTTCTGAACTATTTTAATTCTAGAAGATAATTTCATTTTTGGTCCTTAAATATTCCAGATCATTGGTTCTCAAATCTGGCTATGGAACAGTATCATCTTGGTGTGGGTCAAATGAGTAACTCTCTCTGCATACAAAGTTAGAACACTGGATTCCAAGTCATTCCCCTGAAATATTGCCCTTTTTAAGTTGCCTAGTAATCCCTTCTCTGTGCCCCCACCCCCATAGTATAGATAAGTAAATTTATTGTTTACATCTGTTCTCTTAAAAACTGAATTCTGTCAGCCTCTTAATTTATAATGTCTGAATTAATAGTTATGTTTTTCTTATATTTCTTTTGTGGTGATTCACTTTAGTAATTACATATAAGTGAAAACACTGAAAGATTAAAAAACCTCCCCCTTCCCCTACTAGTTAAATATAACTCTTTAACATAAGCAAAAGGTTTTCTAGAGCAGGGATTTACAAATCTGGCTAGCCCCCTGTTATTTTACAGTCTTCAAGCCACTGGTTTATTTATACGTATGTGTGTATACACACACAGACACACACACATTTATATATACATATATGTGTGTATGTGTACATATATAAATATATATATTTTTAAAGACATGGGGTCTTGCTCTGTCTTGCAGACTGGAGTGCAGTGGGGCCATCATAGCTCACTGCAGCCCCAAACTCTTGGACTCAAGTGATTTTCCTCCCTCAGACTCCCAAAGCGCTGGGATTACAGGCAATGTGTATATTTTTAAATGGTTATATATAAGTACCTTATCCTTAATTTTGCCTCCTGGCAAAGCCTACAATATTTTCTAGACCTCTCTCTGGAGCAAAAAACTTTCTCTAGTAGTATTTCTTTTAAAGGGTATGCTGTAGTCCAGCTCATCTTGTAGATGAATACAATGGAGACTTGATGTTAATAGACCCCCTCCCCTCCCACTTTTATAAAAAGATAAGCTGGAAATCTCCATTTCAACATGAAATATTCTGATTTTAAAATATTGGCAATGAATTCAGAATTCTAAAAGACATTTTCTAGTTACTTATTGTGTACTAAGTATGTTTGTAAGCTTATAGTTCATAACTTCTGAGCTAGCAGGTGCTAAGAAGGGGTGCCAGGTCATGATTCTGCAAGCCTATGTAATATTTTTGGTGGCTCTAGACTCTTATTTTCTTCTCCATTGGCTTTTTTTCTGTTTTGTAAGTCAGGCTACAATAAAGGAAACAAATGGAAATGTATTTTAAGTAAAACTGAAATTTTGCCAATTGTTAATAATTAAACCCATTTCTAAATGGAATCCTTAGCCAGTTTGGCAGTAGGAAATTGTTAAAATCGATTGATGTCTTCCTGTCTGTGGTTGAGGAATCAGATATTTTTTCAAACAATTTTTGAGTAGCATTATCGTTAGTATATATATAAATTAGAAGTTAATAAAGGATTAAGATCCAATGACTGCATTAAAGAAACTACACTGTAAATACTTTATTACAGTTTTGTACCTTAATATATTAAATATGGTTAATTTTATTCCATTTTAAAAGCTTTTTTTCTGGATCTGGCAGATTCTGGATCATCACTATGAACATGAGCTTGTCTTTGCATTGCAGCCATGTGGAACTCTTGGCTGTTGGATCCTCTTGGGCCTTTAGAATACCAAGTTTCAGCTAGGTATTTTTCTAAATGGAAGACAGCACATAATATAGTACAAGTCTCAAAAGTGAGAACTGGGCAAGTTAGTGTAGCCAAAATAAGAGAACTGTGTCATGGTGGCTTTGGGTAATTTTTGCTGGCTTGACAGTCTCTGAGGTTTGGTGTACGATCAGTTTGTGTTTCGACAATTGGGATCTGTCAGAAGACAGTGAAAGCAATAGAGTCAACATTGTGATATATTAGTTCAGCGATATGACCTCTGAAATGTAAGATTATTCCAGGCTCAGCCTGTTAAAAACTGGGTGAGTTTGGAGGTCATTTTTGTGAGAAGTGGTTATGAGGAGGAATTTCAAATAAACTTAGAAGACTGTTTTAATTTTGAATACTGCTTGCATTTCTCTTTAACACATTGGCAGAAAAGGGTTGGAAAATATTCTGAGGAAAATAAGGCAGTTTATTCAAATATAATATTTATTTCACCTTGAAGAATAATACATTAAATATTGGGCAATGCACTATAGATGAATAAAATAATTTTTTATGGCAATAATTGGCAATATAGTATTTTAAAACAAATTTCAGGCTGGGTGTGATGGCTCATGCCTGTAATCCTAGCACTTTGGGAGGCTGAGGTAGGTGAATCACTTGAGGTCAGGAGTTCCAGACCAGCCTGGCCAACATGGTGAAACCCCGTCCTTCTAAAAATACAAAAAAATTTAGCCAGGTGTGGTGGTGTGTGCCTGTAATCCCAGTTACTTGGGAGGCTGAGGCAAGGAGAATAGTTTGAACCTGGGAGGCAGAGGCTGCAATGAGCCAAGATCGCGCCATGGAACCCCAGCCTGGGTAACAGAGTGAGACTCTGTCTCAAAAAAAATAAAATTAAAATTAAAAAAAAATCGGCCGGGCGTGGTGGCTCACGCCTATAATCCCAGCACTTTGGGAGGCCAAGGTGGGTGGATCACGAGGTCAAGAGATCGAGACCATCCTGGTCAACAAGGTGAAACCTCGTCTCTACTAAAAATACAAAAATTAGCTGGGCATGATGGTGCGTGCCTGTAGTCCCAGCTACTCGGGAGGCTGAGGCAGGAGAATTTCTTGAACCCAGGAGGCGNAAAAAAAAAAAAAAAAAAAAAAAAATTAAAAAAAATCATTTCAGTCACTGTCATTACCTGCTTTGAAACATTTATATGTTGTTTAAAAAATCAAAATGAGGCCTAGAGTGCAGCAAGATGGCCGCCCCCGTGGATCTTGAGTTGAAGAAGGCCTTCATAGAGCTTCGAGCCAAAGTTATCGACACTCAACAGAAGGTGAAGCTGGCAGACATACAGATTGAACAGCTAAACAGAACAAAAAAGCATGCACATCTTACAGAGATCATGACTTTGGTAGATGAGACTAACATGTATGAAGGTGTAGGAAGAATGTTTATTCTTCAGTCCAAGGAAGCAATTTACAATCAACTGTTAGAGAAGCAAAAAACAGCAGAAGAAAAAATTAAAGAACTAGAACAGAAAAAGTCCTACCTGGAGTGGAGCGTTAAGGAAGCTGAGGACAACATCAGGGAGATGCTGATGGCACAAAGGGCCCAGTAGGGAGCCTCTCGGGGAAGCTCTTCCTCTTGCCTCTCCCATTCATGGTGGGGGCAGAGGAGTCTCTGCAGGAAAACAGCTCCTCCTCTGCCTCATGGCTGCTTCATCTGGATGGCCTGACAACGTCACATTTTCTGCATCACCCTGAGCCCCTTTTGCTTCCCAGCCCTGGAGTTTTTACCCTGGCTTTACCTCCCACCTCGGCCCAGGACACTCTTCCCTCTCAGGGTGTGTGATGAACTCTCAGGAGAGGGAAGATGGGAGCCAGGGCAGATAGGAAGCTCTGCCTGAGCTTTCCATGGGGCATGCCAGCCAGACCAATAAAAAGTGTCCACTCTGCTAAGCCTGCGTTTCTTGAGCTGAGGGATGGAACAGAGGGTTAGAGAGGCAGTGGCCGTCTCCACCTCAGCTCCTGCTCCCTCTGCATTGGAGCCCTTCCTTCCTTGGGGGATGGGCTTTTGCCCTCTTTTTTCCCTTCCTGTACCTTTGACTAACCCCTCAGCTTCTGGGCCTGCATGTAGTAGACAGAAGAGGAAGAAAGAACACTGACATTCACAGCTGAATAAGTGAACAGGATAGCAGTCCCTGGATGGCAGTCTGCCTCAAGATTCCTTTTCCTGCCTTCTCCCATACATTCCAAAAGGAAGTTCAACAGTCAGCAGCACCTCCAAGAGTATCTCCCTCGGGCCAATATCATAAGATGGGTGCCGTAATCCTGAGGCCTCCTAGAGGCTGAGGGCAGCAGTATGCTCCAGCTGGCTCGTCCCAGCCCAGGTGGGCCAATTATTCAATTTTTAAGAATTTCGTTGGAAGCCAGTTGTTAAACACAGCCATTATAATTATGTAAATGTGCAAATTAGGTTCAAAACAAGGACAATAAATATTCAAAACTCAAAAAAAAATCAAAATGAACTAAAATTAGTTTCTTTTTGAGAGTTTTTATAGCAAGAAATAACAGTTGTGTCTAAAAATAGTGTTTATATTATTGATGTAATCCTTTCATCATAATAAAGAATATTCATAAACATCAGTGTGGGTAATAAAAAGAACACTAAGAACGTTCAGATATAGGGAAGTTAAGGTGAAGTGATCTGAGTAGAGCCAGAAATGATGTTTCATGTTTTAATAATTAACTGAGAACTGTTTGCAGATCTCGTCTCTAGATTGGGCCTAGAAGGTTTGTGTAGGAGTTGGAATTCTTTTCTTTTTTTTTTTTTTTAATTTTGAGACACAGTCTCGTTCTGTTGCCCAGGCTGGAGTGCAGTGGCGCGATCTTGGCTCACTGCAGCCTCTGCCTCCTGGATTCAAGCGATTCTCCTGCCTCAGCCTCCTGAATAGCTGGGATTACAGGCATGTATCACCACACCCAGCTAATTTTTTAGTAGAGACAGGGTTTCACCATGTTGGCCAGGATGGTCTCGATCTCCTGACCTTGTGATCTGCCCACCTTGGCCTCCCAAAGTGCTGGGATTACAAGTGTAAGTCACCGCACCCAGCCCCTGAGTTATTTTCATTTAGTTAAATCTCTGTGACTTTTTTCTCCTGATAATTGGAATAGCATATATATATACAGGTAAACAATGTGAACACTGAACTGAAAATTTACAAAACTAAGGATTGGATTTAACTCTGCAACTTTCAGCAAAATCTTTCACCGCTGAATTTCTTTTTCCCTAGCTATAAAAGTCAAGGTCTTGGACTAGACTTTTAAGGTACCTCCCTTCTTGAAGCACTGTCCCAAACAACCTTAAGGCCTATCAGCAGAAGATAGGTTAACTTAATGATTGCAAACTGAGACAACAGGCTGCTATGAAGCTGTTTAAAATAAATGAGGGAAGTCTGTTAGTACAGATGGGGTGTGATTTATTCATCCATCCACAAATTTTGAGTCCTTCTATATGCCAGACACTATTCTTGGTACTAGGAGTACAGAAAAGAACATACCGATACAGAGCTTACATTATAAAAAGAGAGCAGACAATAAATAAGTGAATAAATACCATAGTGTCAGGGAGTGATAAATGTTATGAAGAAAGATGAAGTACTTTCTCAAATCTCTGAGACTTGGTGTAAGGGGGAAAAGAAGATATAGAACATATATGGGACACTTACTAGAATTTTTTAATGACTTTGAGGTTGGTTGCTATTAAAGAGACTGGTGGTCAGGGTATGGCATGTTAGGGAGAGAGCCCTACTCATACCCTTTTGTGCTGTTTGATTTTTTTGAGGGGTCACATGTGCATGTATTACTGAAAAAAAAAATCCTTAATGGTGTGGGAGAAAATATTTTGGTGACATATTTAACATGCTTTAGTTCAATCTGAACTTTTTTGGCTGAGTGTACTAGTCTTTATCTATGTGTCCTGTGTCCTAACAATGTTTAGAAATAAACTTTTTTCACTTTTGGTTTTATCAGACTTTTCCTTTTAATATGTACATGCTTTTTTTGTATTAACATTTGCAGCGCTAAAACTTAAGTTTATATGTAGCCTTCTTTAATGTGTTTTAAATATCTTAAACAGAAAATTTATCTAAGTTCTAAACTTTTGAGTAAGCATAAACGTAGATTGCTTACTCAGTGTCTTCCTTAGGATAAAAATTAAAGTTGCTGACATTTTGTTTTATGTTAAACTGGAATTTTTATTTCATTTTTAATGTGTTTATTTTTAGGCTTCAAACATCACTGAACTTGGAAAACTCAAATTGAGATCACTTTTTTTCTCCTAAAAAAAAAAATCAGCTTGCTAAGCATCTTTCCTGATTTTTATCTTTGTTCTTTTCTAGTTGGATGAAAAATCTGACAAACAGTATGCTGAAAATTATACAAGAGTGAGTATATAAATTCCTGAGGGAAATTATCAAGGTCAATTAAACTTGTTATCTGTGACTTGTTCATTATTTATTTTACAACAGTTGGTCTGATGTAGCTGCTCTTCCTCCCTTCATTTATTTCCTGTCCTTGACCCTCCAAAATTCCTTCGAAGTTAAATCATGTGAGGCCCTGGGAAGAAAAAACGTGCTGCATTTTATTTCTTTTAATGTCACCTCTTTAGCTTTTATCTGCTTTTCTGATTTTCATTCCTCTAGAAATTGATCCTCAGAAGAAGCCAATAAACACTGAATATGAAGTTTCTTTAGGAATGGTAGTGACAAACTCTGAGACTTTGTTTTCTTTTATATATAAATTGTTTCTTGAAGTAAAATACTCCTTTCTAGGATTTGCTTTGTGTTAAAGTCTCTTTCTTCTGAAAGTATTTTTAGAAAGTCAGTTAGGGAAATGATTTATCAGAATTAATTTTATGCTATACCCAAGAAAGATAAATTAGCTCTGTCCAGTAGAAATATAATGCAAACCACAAATCTGAACTTATATGTAAGTTTAAATTTTCTGGTAGCCACATTTAAAAAGTAAAAAGAAACAGGTAAAATTAATTTAGGTAATATATTTTATTTAATCCACATATCCAAACTATTTCAACATATAATCAATATAAAATTACTAGGCCGGACTCGGTAGCTCACACCTATAATCCCAACACTTTGGGAGGCCAAGGTGGATGGATCACTTGAGGTCTGGAGCTCGAGACCAGCCTGAGCAACATGATGAAACCCTGTCTCTACTAAAAATGCAAAAAAAAAATAGCCAGGCATGGTGTTCCATGCCTGTAGTCCCAGCAACTCCTCAGTCTGGGAGGCTAAGGCAGGAGAACTGCTTGAACCTGGGAGGTGGATGTTGCAGTGAGCCGAGATCTTGCCACTGCACTCCAGCCTGGACAACAGAGCGAGACTCCAACTCAAAAAAAAAAAAAAGAAAGAAAGAAACAAAACTAATAAATATAAAATTATTAATGAGATATATTTTATTCTTTTTTCTACACTAAACCTTTAAAATCTGGTATGCATCCTATACTCAACTCTCAATTTGGACTAACCACATTTCAAGTGCTCAGTGGCTGATTGTAAGTATATTGGACAGCACAGATTCATGCTGTTTATTAATCAATAGCATAATCTCACATTTAAACTAATTTTGGGAATAACAGTCTACATTAATAGTAATATCCAGTGTTGCTGCTCTCCAGTGCAAATAGTGTCTTTATCAACAAAGTATTAGAGAAAGAAGAGATTCATAAGCAGTTCAGAAACTAAAAAGGGGAAGTGCTGATTAGCATATTAGTTATAAAATTCTAAAACTGCTTTAATCTGATTTGCTCACTTCAGTGGATAGCAAAGATAAACTTAGAAAATAAACAACCCTCATAAAAACTGTTTTCTTTTTGGTTATGATGAATTCTAGATTCTGATAAGGTATTTGTGTTAATGAAATTTTGCTTAGTATGCTTGGCCATTCTCTGGATACCTCTTCCCACAAAGCCAATCTAAATTGACCATTGATTACACATGATAACTCACTCATCTGAAGGCCACATCTTCTCCAACCACCCTGCCCTGTTTTTAGTTTCCATAGCAAACATATTTTTTAAAGAAATGAGACTTAGAAGTGTCATATTTCTCTTTGTAGCCTTCATCTCGAAATTCTGCCTCAGCAACAACCCCTCTAAGTGGAAACTCATCCAGACGAGGAAGTGGGGACACCAGCAGCTTAATAGATCCAGACACCTCATTAAGTGAATTACGGGTAAACTGAAGTTTTTGGTTTTCTTTTTAAAAGCAGTTTTTTTGACTTCTTGGTAATATACTACAACTTTTAGCTTTTAATGTGACTTAGTAGAAATAAGGAATATGATTCTTTTAAAAAAATTAGTACAGTTAAAAAGTATGACTCGGGTATTTCAGAGTTGAAAGGAAGGAGATTAGTTAATTCTTTTTTCTGTCCTCTCTCCTGAAAATTTGATGGCGTTGGAATTTCTGCTAATTTACAAATGCCAAAAAAAGCACTTTGTAATGTATGTAAAAGTAATTCTCTCAGAAACAACTGTCCATGTTTTAAATGGAAAATATGTGGGTGAACAAAGAACTAGATTGTGGAAATTATTAGTCTTTTGAGCCATTATGGTATTCAGCTGCTTGAATATGGTTATCTCTCAGTTTTTCATACTAATAGAAGTGTGATAATATTTGGATAACAGAACCTGCTATTTGTGAGGCAAGGGGTAGTCAGAAATTGCATTCATTCATTCATTCAACATTTATTGAGCACTTGGCCTTGGAGATTTAAGCAGCAAAACATGTTCTGGCCTTCAGGATTTCCCTGTTTCATAGGGAAGACAAACTGATACAAAACCAGGTGGTGTTATACAATAGTAGCAAGAATAGGGCTGTTAAGGTAATTAAGACAAGCATCATCTGAATTGGATTAGGAGAAGAGATAACAAAACGCTTTTCAGAAAAGACAACTTTGAGCTAAGGTTTGAAGGAAAAATAAAAATTAACCAGGCAAAGAAATTGAAGGCGGAAGCCTTTCTCAAAGAGATGCATTCAGGGAACCCATAAAGTTAGCTGTATAGCAAAGTTGCCGGAAGGTAGGATGAGAATAACAGTACCAAGAGTGAAGGCTGGAAAAGGAGTGCAGGGTCAAATCACAAAGCATCTTGTATTCTAGCCTGAAAGGAATTCAGTTTTACCCTGACAACTATGGGATGTTAAACAGGAGAGCAATACTATCTGCTTTGTGTTCTTAAAAAATAACTTTGATCACAGTCAGAGGAAGCATTGCAGGCCAGAAGAGCAGTAACTCTGTGGTTCAACTGTGAGGATGAGGTGAGCAAGTCAAAAATGCCAGGGGAGAAAACGTAAGAAACTTGCTCTGGAGTGAATACGAGAGACCGGGAAGTGGTTGGGCAATAGGTAGGGAGAGAGAAATTTAAGAAAATGTTTTCAGCTTTCTTTTAAAGATGAGATTGATTATTTATTTCTTTGGTTGAGTTG